TTCTCTTCCTTCCTTCCTTTTCTTGTTTTCTCTCTTTCTTTCTCCTTCCTTCCTTCCTTCCTTCCTTCCCTTGTTTTTTTTTCTCTCTCTCTCTTTCTCCTTCCTACTACCTTCCTTCCGTCCTTTTTCTCTTCCTTCCTTCCTTCCTTTTCTTATTTTTTCTCTCTCTCTTTCTCTCTTTCTCTTTCTTTCTTTCTCTTTCTTTCTTTCTCCTTCCTTCCTACTACCTATCTACCTTTCTTTTTCTTTCTTTCTCTTTCTTTCTTTCTTCTTTCTCTTGTTTTCTCTCTCTCCTGTCTTTATTTCTTTCTCTCCCTTTTTCTTTCCTTTTTTTGCATTTCTTCTCTCTCTCTCTCTCTTTCTCTCTCTCTCTCTCTCTCTCTCTCCTCTTTTCCTTTTTCACAAAAGCGTTTTACTTCTTGTCCTCTTTCCTAACAGAAACAGGGGCAAACTTATCAATTGCCCCTTCCTCACCCTCACCCTCACCCAACAATTAGCAATACGACTATAAAATAACCGTAGAAAAATTAGGCATCCGACTCCCCCCCCCCTCCTCCTCTCCAACTTTAGACTTCGGAAAAAATAGAACAGGCAATTGTGACCGGAAGCTCTTTTGAAGCTTGGGGAAAGAAAAATAAAATAAAATAAAACAAAAACCCCGAAGTCTGCAGTATTCCTGAAAATTTTGTCGTTGTGGGTGGGTCGGGAGAGGGGGGGGGGGGGGGGAAGAGAGACGAACGAGGTTATCAATCCCTCTAAATCCCGACCGGTTTAAAAGTCGGCGGATCGGTGATCTATTTACGCCAAGCGTTCCCCGATCGTTGCAAACAAACCAATCCATCGGATTTAAGGCGAAAGGGGATCCCGGGGCGGCGATCCCATCCCGCAGAAACTTCGGAAGGGAGGCGAGAGTTAACAATCCTTGTTCGGGCAGAAAAACCCAAAGTAAAGGCGACGTCTCCTTCGTCCTTAGTGGAGAAGGATCCAGGCGGAGGCGTAAGAAAGATGCTTTAACTGGATCCCCCCCCCCCCGTGTAGTCTAGGAGTCCCTCTTCCCGGGGAAATCTCCTCGTGGTCCCCTTTCCATATGGAAGCCCACCCACCCACCATCCCACCCGGGCTCTTCCCGGCTCAGCTGCCACCTCTCCAACCTTGCCACCTGCCCCTGCCCTCTCCTGCCCCGCCGATCGCGCCGGCCGAGGGGTACCTGCAGCGCCGCCGCGCCAGGCAAGGGCCAGGACCGAGAGGACGCAGGCGGCCACCCCGCTCGCCATGGCAGCTCGGACTGGGGGAACCGAAGAGCCAGCCGGCTCAGCTCCGCGGATTTACGGCTGGGGAGGGCGGGCAGTGTGGATGGAGAGAGGCGGGGAAACTTCCCCCGTTTCGGAGGCGGAGCGGCTGCGGGCGGGCTCCTTCTGGATTTACCTGCCGCCCGCAGGTGAGTGGGAACTTCCCAGCCACCGGGGACAGGTGGTCCTCGACTTACGGCCACAATGGAGCAACAACCCCCACCCCCCACTGATGTGGCTAAGGGAGACATTTCTTTCAATGCAAGTTAGGACTTTTCTGGCTGCCGTCGCTAAGGGAACCCATTGCCGTTGTTAAGTGAGTAACCCGGTTGTTAAGCGAATCTGGCTTCTCCGTTGAACTTTGCTTGTCAGAAAGTGGCAAAAGGGGAAAACTCACACCTCCGGGGACATTGCAACCGTCGTAAATATGAAGCCGTTGCCAAGAGGCTTAATTTTGATCACGTGACCACGGGGGAAGCGAGACGGACATGCAGCGAACGGTCGTCATTGTGAAAAAGGGTCGTAAGTCACTATTTTCCAGTGCTGTTGTTAACTTTGGACCAGTGGTGAAATCTAAAATTGGTTACTACCCGTTCTGTGGGAGTGGTTTGGTGGCGGTGGGGTAATGTGACTGGGTAGACGTGGCCAATTTTTTTTTTATTATTTTTAAAACCATTTTTTGTAAAAAAAAAAAAAATGCTTTCAAAAGGCTCTGACATCCCAGCTGAGCTGCTTGATGGGCAGTGCTTTTTTTCTTTTTAAAAAAAGGCATTTTTTTTAAATGCCTTTCACTGGATTCCCCCCCCCCATAGTCTAGTAGTCCCTCTTCCCCGGGAAATCTCCTCGTGGTCTCCTTTCCAAATGGACCCCCACCCCCACCCCCACCCCACTCCAACCTTGCCACCTGCCTATTTCTATTTCTATTTCTATTTCTATTCTATTCTATTCTATTCTATTCTATTCTATTCTATTCTCCTTCCCTCTTCCTCCTTCTCTTCTCTTCTCTTCTCTTCTCTTCTCTTCTCTTCTCTTCTCCTCTTCCTATTCTATTCTATTCTATTCCCCTTCCTTCTTCCCTTCCCTTCCCTTCCCTTCCCTTCATTTCTATTCCATTCCATTCCATTCCATTCCATTCTATTCTTTCCAGCCCCTATGATTTTGTGGGTCCTGAGCCTGCTGAATCCATGACAGGGCAGGGCCAGGCTCCGAATCCATCAGAACCGACTTCTCCTTGCTTATTCTGGAGTCATCCCTCCTGAGTCATTCGCCTTTGGTGCAGTGTGCCACCAAGCTAGAAAATTCTGTTATCTCTGCAGGCATGGCTGCTAATGGTGTGAAGAGAGACACCAGGGGGTGCTGTCTGGGGTCTGGAGGGACCCCACAGCCTTGGGTCCCCACCAGGGTTGGTATTCACTTATCTTTGCTACCGTTTCACACGCTCCACCTCTGAGCATGCACAGAGTGTCAACAACATGGATAAATGGGATACGATAATGTTGGGTAGGTGGGCAGAGCCGGCTGAATGAATCTGATGATGTTAACTTGGCAGCGAAACATCTTGAAGAAAAAAACCAACCTTAGAGAGCATCAGGGGCCCTATACTCCCTTCTCCTTCTCCTCCTCTCCACAAACCCCACTCCCTTCTAACACTGATGATGTTACCTAGTTGGGTAATAAAACATCTACAAGAAAACAACCAAGCTCAGAGACCCCCAAGGCAGTAGTGGGTTTCAAACAATTTTTACTACCTGTTCTGTGGATGTGGCTTGGTGGGCGTGGCAGGGGAAGGTTACTGTAAAATCTCCATTCCCGCCCCACTGCACGGGAAGGATACTGCAAAATCTCCATTCCCGCCCCACTCCTGGGGGAAGGATACTGCAAAATCCCCATTCCCTCCCCACTCCTGGGGAAGATATTGCAAAATCTCCATTCCCACCCCACTCCAGGGGAAAGATACTGCAAAATCCCCATTTCCTCCCCACTCCTGGGGGAAGGATAATGCAAAATCCCCATTCCCTCCCCACTCCGGTGGGAAGGATATTGCAAAATTCCCATTCCCTCCCCACTCCTGGGGGAAGGATATTGCAAAATCTCCATTCCCACCCCACTCTTGGGCCAGCCAGAGGTAGTATTTGCCAGTTCTCCCAACTACTCAAAATTTCCACTACCGGTTCTGCAGAACCTGCTGGATTTCACCCCTGGCCCGTATGCTTTTAATCGCTCTAAAAACAGCTTCTCAACTTGAAAATTGAAGAGCCTTGGTAGTACAGTGGTCTAAGGCACCCTGTTGTTAAGCTGGTTATTAAGACCAACTGCCTGCAATTACTGCAGGTTCGAATCTCGCCAAGGCTCAAGGTTGACTCAGCCTTCCATCCTTTCTAAGGTAGGTTAAATGGGGACCCAGTTTGTGGGGGCAATAAGCTGACTTTGTATAAATATACAAAAAGGATGAAGGCTATTGCTTAATGCATTGTAAGCCGCCCTGAGTCTCCGGAGAAGGGCGGCATATAAATCAAATTAAAAAAAAAATAATGGCTAGGTTACAAATCTCCAGAATGCCCCATGCAAGCATTCCGGGACTTCAACTCCCAGAGGTCCCTTCTTCCGACAGGGCCGAGCCCCTGCTCCCCACCTCGGCCAATAGGAGCCAAGAAGGAGAGGTCCCTCTGCCTGGGATTGGAGGAGCAACCTGCCACTCCGAAGGCTCCCCGCACTGAGCTGGATGAGTCTCGCGCGCTGCGTTTGCTTGGTGCAGCGAGCTGGGAAGAAGGTCTTGGGAGTTCGTCCCTTTGGTGCAACTATGCCGGTAGATTTGAGCGGCTGGGGAGGCTCATTAAACCTCCCCGAGGTGGAAGACAAGCCGATGCAACCTCTGCGGGTCCGCTACGGGACGGTGGAAATCGAGGAGCTCGGTCAAGTGCTTACACCCACCCAGGTAGTAAAGGGGTAGTAAGGGGCCGCCTGCAAGGGGTTGCAAAGTTGCATCGCTTTTCCCCCTCGCCCTTTGCAAAAAGGGACGCCCTTTTCTCGTCCTTCGGCCTGGAATTGAGCTGGGGGCTTTTGCACAATCCCTTCCTTCCCTCCACGCCCTCGAATTTCCACGCACGTTTTTTTTTCCCCCCTTATGCACCGGCGCGGGGCTTCCAAAATCCAGTCTGCAAAAGCGTTGCCACGCTTGCAACGGTTAAAATTAGGGGACACCCCGCTCCCCCCCATAAAGGAGCTCCGCTTTGCAGGAGTCGATGCATTATTTGACCTGCATCTGGATCATTTCAGATTTTCTCCGAACCCCCCCCCCCCCCAATTTGCAATCCCGTTATATAGGATCCCGCAGTCTTCCCTTGGTTGCAAACGGCCAACATGCCACAAATTTGCAGCCGGGAGGCAATTTGGACGCCCTTCTCGGGCGACTCGGCTATTTGCAACTTGCAAAGAAATGTGTATTTAAAAAAAAAAAAATGCATGCATCTCAACGTGCATTATGGCCTCGCTAGCTTGGCACGATCCTTAGGAGGCCCGAGAATCCTGCGTGGCTTTTTTGGAAAAAAATAAAATAAAAAAAGGCACGCGATCGTTTTTAATGCAAACGGTTTGTTTGCAAAATCGTTTTTTTTTTTGCTTTTTGTTTTTTTAGCCTGGCCTTAAAATAGAAGAGAGACGAGCAAGGTTGCAAATTTTTTTTTTTTAAAAAAAAAGCTCACCCTAAAAATAAAAAAGGCGCCCATTGCCAAGATGGCATCTTCCCAAAAGAGAGGCGGAGACCAGCAGCTTGAAGCGGCTGGGTGGGTGGGTGGATGGGGGGCTCGGTTCTCCCTTCCCGTCCCCACTCCGTTGCAAGGCCCGGGAAGCGCGTGCACAGCTCGGGGTGAAGGTTACGCGCGTTGCAACACCGAGCCTTGAGCTAAATTGGACGCTAAAGGGAATATTGCAAAATATTGAATTTGCAATGCAAAATCGTTTTGCGTTTGACAGCCGTTTTAAAGTGAATAAGATGAATAATAGAATAATAATAATAATAATAAAATAAAGGAGCCTTGGTAGTACAGTGGTTTAATGCACCCTGTAATTAACACAGCTGCCTGCAATTACTGCAGGTTCGAATCTCACCAGGCTCAAGGTTGACTCAGCCTTCCATCCTTTCTAAGGTAGGTAAATTGAGGACCCAGATTGTGGGGGCAATAAGCTGACTTTGTATAAATATACAAAAGGATGAAGGCTATTGCTTAAGGAGCCTTGGTAGTACAGTGGTCTAAAGCACCCTGTTATTAAGAACAGCTGCCTGCAATTTCTGCAGGTTCGAATCTCCCCAGGCTCAAGGTTGACTCAGCCTTCCATCCTTTCTAAGGTAGGTTAAATGAGGACCCAGTTTGTGGGGGCAATAAGCTGACTTCGTATAAAATATACAAAAGGATGAAGGCTATTGCTTAACGCCTTGTAAGCCGCCCTGAGTCTCCGGAGAAGGGCGGCATATAAATCAAATTTAAAAAAAAAAAATGTGAATAATGTGAATGGTATAGGGTCAGCTATATGAACACTGGAGGGACCCTCTTTATTCACATTATTATAAGAAAGAAATGTGCTTGTTCAGAGATTACACTGTCAGCTAAATTCCACTCTTGGCAACATAAATCTTCTGAGGGGCCTATCTGTCAAGGATGCAGAGACATCCATCTGAAACAAAAAGTTACTTATTAATCCAAGGCCAGCCATGAATCTATGCATCAGTGATTACAGAAGAGGAGGATGTTTAGCTAAGATTATCTCATGTACTATAAATTAATGTAGGAATTAGTAATTAAAAAGTGTCCATTATCATGTAACAAATGTATGTTAACCATATATGGAAAACTGCTGTGCCAGCAAAATCCTTTTGTCTTGGATATGTATAAAAGCAGTTGTATCGGAACTCTTCCTTTGTTCAGAATTGCAGATACAAATCTGATTCTGAAACTGCGCAATAAAACTGTCTCTGGCTGACCAAGGAATGTTGTTCAGTCTTCCCTTTCTACAACAGTTTTAGCCTGGGGAGGGGGGCGTATCTGGGTTAGAGGGACCCCACGGTTTAATTTCTAAACCCAAATGGTGGCTTATTTTTTTTTTTTTTAAATTCAACCAGCTTCCACGTTTGCAGATTTCCAGCTTCCCATGTGTTGTCAAATCGACTGCCTTTCGATATAATAATGATTTATCCGGAGGCACGTCAGCTAATTTATGATACTAAAACGTGGAGACAAGGGACGGTTTAAAATCTTAATTTCCTTATATCCCACTGAACACATCAAGAGCCTTGGTGGTGCAGCGGACTAAAGTGCTGTTAAAGTTAGCACTTAGCTTCCAGCTGCCTGCAATTACTGCGAGTTCGAATCTCACCAGGCTCAAGGTTGACTCAGCCTTCCATCCTTTCGAGGTAGGTAAAATGAGGACCAGGATTGTGGGGGCAATAAGCTGACTTTGTATAAAAAAGAACACCGCTTAAGGGGGGCCCCGAAAGCCCTACTAAGCAGGTATATACAAAAGTATGAAGGCTATTGCTTAACGCATTGTAAGCCACCCTGAGTCTCCGGAGAAGGGCGGCATATAAATCGAACCAATAAATAAATAAATAATAACACAGTCCACCCCCTTCACAAAATAAGGTTTTCCAATCTCTATTACTATTCAAGTTAATTCTGTTGGAGAATTGTGGCATCCTTGGTGCTTTCTGAGCTCGGTTGTTTTTTTCCAGACCTTTTATTACCCAACTAGGTAACATCATCAATGCTAGAAGGGAGTTGCGTTTGTGGAGAGGAGGAGGAGGAGGTGGTGGTGGAAGGACTGTGGCATCCTCAGTGCTCTCTGAACTTGGTTTTTTTTTTCTTCCAGACCTTTCCTGACCCAATTAGGTAACATCATCAGTGTTAGGAGGGAGAGGGGGTTGCATGGAAGAGGTGGAGGAGGGCTTGGTGCTCTCTGAGCTTGGTTGTTTTCTTGCAGATGTTTCATTATAGGTAACACCAGTGAACTGATGATGTGGCCTAGCTTGGTAATGAAATGTCTATAAGAAACAACCTTGATGCTCAGAGGGCACCAAGGAGCCCACAGTCTATCCTTTCTCCTTCAACTCTTCCTCCTCCTCCTCCTCATCGCACACCTGACTCCCTTCTAGCACTGATAATGTTACCTAGTTGGGTAATGAAATGTCTGCAAGAAAGCAGAGAGCACCAAGGACCCCACAGTTCAACCCTGAGCTAAAAATATTCTTATCAATTGGGGAATTCTGGGAACAGAAGTCCAAATATCTTAAAAGTATAATATAAAGCAAATTAAAAATTAAAAATAAAATAAAAAAGTGGCTGAGATTGAGAAACAGTGCTTTTAAGCATCAATTTCCACTTACAGGAACAAAAAATGCCCACTATTATTATTGGTTAATCTTTAGTGAGATTCACAGCCTTTGAGGCTGGTTAATAGCTCAGCAGCTCGAGTCCTAACCAAGGACCTAGGAACTGTTAAGGTAGCGTCGGAGGATGTAAGCTGTTCCGAGCAAGGTGGTTTTTTGTAGAGTCAAAATGTTCAAGTCCGGCAAATTTAGAATTTCTAAATAGCGGGGTAGCCCTTTGGGTATTGCTGCTATTATTATTATTATTATTATTATTATTATTATTATTATTATTATTATTATGCCTGTCCGTCATTTGCTGAAAATGCAGGCTGTCTACAGTGGGAGAAAACATTGGTAACTCTTAAACTATAGAGCTGACTTAAGTCATTTCTTCTGCCCTGTCTTTCTTTTGTTTTTTTTCCCCCCTGTTTTAAAAGAGGAGCAATTTTTTTTAAAATTTCTTGTTTATTTGGGCAGGTTAAGAATCGGCCGACCCTGATCGAGTGGGAGAATTGCAGCCCGGATAAATTCTACACTTTGGCTCTTACAGATCCTGATGCACCCAGCAGGAAAACCCCCAAATTCAGGTAAGTGAGTTTGGGAGGGGGGTGCTTGGAAAGTGCAGGGAGACCCCTGTGAAGAGGAGCATTTCTTCGCATGTTGCAAGCTGGGACTTGCAGATGCAGAGACCCAATTCTTTTCTCTTCTCTCTCTCTCTCTCTCTCTCTCTCTCTTTTTAGGGAGTGGCACCACTTTTTGGTGACCAACATGAGAGGAAATGATATCACAAGTGGGCAGGTTTTGTCTGACTATGTTGGATCTGGGCCTCCCAAAGGAACAGGTATGTGGCCAGCGATTCCCTTTCAAGGCAAAGTTGCTATATGCATTACCTTTCAAAAAGTGGCTACTGAACAAGTATCTCAACTTATAACTAGATAGATAGATAGATAGATAGATAGATAGATAGGAGATGGTTGCATGATAGGAGATGGATGATAGATTCATCCATTCTTCCTCTCGTCCATCCTCTCCTCCCATCCATCCATCCAATTCCCATCCATCCCTCCATACAATCTTCCATCCTCCCACCCATCATCATCCTTTTATCCTTCCTCCCATCTATCAATCCATCCATCCATTCATCCATCCAACCTCCCATTCATCCATCCATCCACCCACCCACCCATCCATCCAATTCCAATCCATCCCATGCAATCTTCCATCCTCCCATCCATCCTCCTTTTATCCTTCCTCCCATCAATCTGTCCATCCTTTCATCCAACCACCCACCTTCCATCCACTCGTCATCCATCTATCCATCTCTCCAAGCAATGTTCCATTCATCCTCTTATCTATCCATCCTCCCATCCATTCATCCAACCTCCCATTCCTGCCATCCATCCATCCATCCACTCGCCCATCCCAATTCCAATCCATCCCCAGGCAAACTTGCCATCCCTCCATCCCTCCCATCCATCATCCTCTTATTCCTTTCCTCCATCTATTAATTCCATCCATCCTCCCTCCCAGCCATCCACATCCCCTCTCCTTCCATCCAATTCTAATGCATCCCTCCATCTATCATCATCCTCTTATCCTTCCTCCCATCTATCCATCCATCCATCCATCCATCTCTCCATGCAATCTTCCATCCCTCCTTCCATCATCCATCCTCTTATCCTTCCTCCTATCTATCCATCCTCCCATCCCTCCCTCCTTCCCTCCATTGCCCCTTCCCTCCATCCAATTCATCCTCAAATTGGCATGCATGCTTGACTCCCCAGCAGCTCTAAGGAAGCGGGCAGAGGTCTGGATTGAACCCTCTTTAAAAGAGGTTTCTGCTGCTTATTTTTTTCTCCCGTGCATTTTCAGGCCTTCATCGCTACGTCTGGCTGGTTTACGAGCAGCCCCAGCAGCTGAGTTGCAACGAGCCCATCCTGAGCAACCGTTCGGGGGACAAACGTGGCAACTTCAAAATAGCGACCTTCCGCAAGAAATACAAGCTGGGTTCCCCCATTGCGGGCACCTGCTACCAAGCCGAGTGGGACGATTACGTGCCCAAACTCTACGAGCAGCTGTCTGGGAAATAAAATCGCCTCTGGTTTCGTGCCCTAGTTCCTCTTCCTTGGAAATTCTCCCCTTAGAATAAATGGCCTGCTTTACTCCGGATGCATTACTGAAAACGCATTCCCATTGAATCGGTAACATGCATTAATCTACGTTAATTCATTATATAGCAGCCTTTATGGCTTATGCAACTGGATTATACGTTGCATTGCTACTTTTGAGAAGTTTTGATCCTGAGTATAGAAAACACCCATTTCCTATAACATCTTGATATTATCTGAGCAATTTAGCTGGTTGTGAAGGGGAATTTCTCCTTCCTTGCCTAAAAAAAGGGGGGCACAAGTGCCAAAGATTTGGTGTAGGACACGCCAATCTGCGTTCCTATAGAGTCAGTGGAATGATAACTGCAGTATTTCTAGCGAGCAATGGGATTGTGCAGCTCAATGCATCTGGAAGGTCCCAGAGAAATAGAGAATAGAATAGAATAGAATAATTTTATTTCTATACCGCCCTTCTCCGGAAGGACTCAGGATGGTGTACAGCCTATTAAAAACACAAGACAACATCAGTTAAAATAGTTTAAAATTATTAAATAAATTCGGCTAAATTTTAAAACTCCAGAAATTTAAAACCCAATTTAAAATTGTTACATTGATAGCCCAGCCTGGCGGAACAACAGGGTCTTGAGTGCACAATGAAATACCTGGAGGTCGGAGATCTTACGCACTTCATAAATTTATGAATATCATAAATTTGGAATATAATAAACATCTCTTACCGTAAGTTTGAGACGGAGCAGGTTCACCGAGGTTTGCAACCAAAGCATCCTGTAAAATCTCTTCCTTCCAGTGATTTTCCATCAAAGAGGAATTTGGCTACGGATCCCACCCAACTCAACAGTTTGTTTAGAGATTTTGGTTATCTCGATGAACTCTGCTGTTAACTGGATATTCTCATGTTTGTTTTAGAAGGCCGGGATGGTTCCAGTTGGATTTCTCTCGTTTTACCGATAACATTTCTGGATATCGTTGTTGTTTTTCCCCTCCCCTCTAAATTGCTGTTAAATAGAGTACATAGCCACCATATTTAGTTATACTTAATTCACTGATATCGTAGCTGCCCATTGAGAAGCGAAAGTGTCTGCCTTTATGGATTTGCTTTGCTCTTGTTGAGAAGTTTTCCATTAAAAATGAGGGTTGCCTTCACTTTTTATGCTGTTCCTTAATCCATAGAAACTGGATTAGCTCTGAATTGTTCCATTCTAAAGCTTGTCTCATTAACCCGAGTTAGGCTTTTGATGGCTTAATCATTCCCTTATAACCCGGTTCTTTTGATTAGCTTAGTGTGTGTACACAGGTAATCCTTGACTTATGCTCACAATGGAGCCCCCAAATTTCTGTTGTTAAGTGAAACATCTGTTAAGTGAATTTTGCCCTATATTAGACCTTTCTTGCCACTGGTTGAATGAACCACTGCAGTTGTTTCGTACCATGGTGGTTAAGTCACCAAAGGAGATCACATGACCCCAGGACATTGCAACCGTCATAAATATGAGTCTTGCCAAGGATCTGAATTTTGATCACACACGGGCCTTGGAGGTCTTCTAGTCCAACCCCCTGCTTAGGCAGGAAACCCTACAGCACTTCAGACAAATGGTTACTCAATCTCTTCTTAAAAACTCCCAGTATTGGAGCATTCACAACTTCTGGTGGCAAGTTGTTCCACTGATGAATTGTTCCAACGGTCGGGAAATTTCTCCTCAGTTCTAAGTTGCTTCTCTTAATTAGTTTCCACAGAATGACATAGTTGGAAGGGGCCTCAGTTGCTTTCAGGCCTTCTGTTTCTCAGTGAAACCAGGGCTGTGGTGTCCAGTTAGGAAAAAAAAAAAGTCTCCATTAAATGATAATTTTGTGTTAGGCTTAAGACCAGAAAGTGCAAAAGGAGCCATAGATACACAAATGGTGAAGAGTGGACACTTCACAGTGCCTCAGAAGTAGCCAAAATTCTGTCTCCCCCTTTTTAAATTCTTTCCTTCTCCCATTTTCCTTCCATTTCCTTCCCTTTTTTCCTTCTTTCCTTCCCATTTTCCTTCCTCCCGTTTTCCTTGTTTTCTTCCTCCCATTTTCCTTACTTCTCTCCCATTTCTTTTTTTCCTTCACTCTTCTCCCTCCCATTTTCCTTCTCCCTCACATTTCCTTTTTTTCCTCCCATTTTCTCTCTTCCTTTCCTTCCTTCCTCCATTTTCCCCTCATTTTCCTTACTTCTCTCCCATTTCCTTCGCTCTTTCCTTCTCTCCCTCCCTCCCGTTTTCCTTTTTCCTTTTCATCTTCCCATTTTCCTTCTCCCTCACATTTCCTTTTTTTCCTCCCATTTTCTCTTTTCCTTTCCTTCCTTCCTCCATTTTCCCCTCATTTTCCTTACTTCTCTCCCATTTATTTATTTATTTATTTATTTATTTATTTATTTATTTATTTATTTATTATATTTCTATACCGCCTTTCTCCCGTAGGACTCAAGGCGGTGTACAGTCAAGAAAAACATAGACATACAAACACCACAAAATTGCTAATTAAAATTGCCACTTAGTTTGGTCAATTAAATAAATAAATTTAAATAAATAAATTTCCTTTTTTCATTCGCTCTTTCCTTTTCCCTCCCGTTTTCCTTTTTCCTTTCCCTCTTCCCGTTTTCCTTCTCCCTCACATTTCCTTTTTTCCTTCCATTTTCTCTTTTCCTTCTTTCCTTCCTCCATTTTCCCCCCACTTTCCTTCCATCCTCCCATTTTCTTTTTTCTTTCCTTTCCCTCCCTCCCATTTCCCCCTTTCCCCTTCCATCCTCCCATTTCCCTCCCTTCTCCCATTTCCTTTTTTTTCCTTCCATCTTCTCGTTTTCCTTCTTTCCTTCCTCCACACCCTCCCATTTTCCTTCTAATTCTTTCATCCTCCCTCCCATTTCCCTTCCTTCCATCCTCTTCGCTTCCCTCTTCTCTTTTTATTGTATTGCAAAATTTGAGTGGAGAGGTGTTTTTTTTTAAAAAAAAAAATCAAAGAAAGAAAACGGCTGGAATGATAGTCTCTCACTAAAAGAGTCCCGCGAGAGATCGTCGTTTGGTCGCTCTAGTACTTTTCCTAGCTCTCTGCGGCCGAGACGGGCGGGTCGGCGAGCGGAGAGGAGGTGGGGGGGCAGGAGCTCCTGGCTTGCGCCTGCGCAAAAGAACCTCTCCGAACCTCTTTGAACCACGTGGGGGGGGGGGGGGGTGTTCCAGAACGCGATTGCGTCACAGGGAGTTTCAAGGAGATTCCGGGCGTCTCTTTCGGAGCGGAGAAGCCGGTGCAACCGCAGCCACCGACCTCAACCATGCCCAGGGGCAGCCGGAGCGCGGCGCCTCGCCCGGCCAGGTAGGGGCGTAGGGGAGGGTAGCCCACCTGCCCACCTTTCCAGCTCCCCTCCCCAAAAAGGACACGAGCTTTGCCCCCTGCCACTCTTTCTCCCCCTCCCCACCCGGTAGGAGCCCAACGACTCCTCTCCAAGGTCAGAAGGCAGGAGAAGCGCTCTGTGCATGCTCAGGAGAGGCCCGTCTTGGGGGAGGGCAAGGGGGGTCGCGGGTAGGGTCTCGGCCGACTGCAAAAGCTTTTGGGTCTCTCCCTCCCTCCCTCCCTCCGAGGAAGGGAGACGGAGAGCGCTCTGTGCATGCTCAGGAGCCCCGTCTTGGGGAGGGCAAGGGGGTCGCGGGTAGGGTCTCAGCTTTTGGGGTTCTCCCTCTCTCCCTCTCCCCCCCTCTCTCTCTCTTCCCTCCGAGGAAGGGAGACGGAGAGCGCTCTGTGCATGCTCAGGAACCCCATCTTGGGGAGGACGGGGGGGGCATGTTTAAAAGGCCACGGGTGGGGGTCTCAGCCGATTTCAAAAACTTTTGGGTCTCTCTCTCTCTCTCTCTCTCTCTCTCTCTCGGACTCTTCCCTCTGAGGAAGGGAGACGGGCAGCGCTCTGTGCATGCTCAGGAGAGCCCCGTCTTGGGGAGGAAAAGGGGGTCGCGGGTAGGGTCTCAGCCAGCTTCCAAAGCTTTTGGGGTTCTCTCTCTCTCTCCCTCTCTCTCTCTCTCTCTTGGATTTTTCCCTCCGAGGAAGGGAGACGGGGAGCCCTCTGTGCATGCTCAGGAGCCCCGTCTTGGGGAGGGCAAGGGGGTCGCGGGTAGGGTCTCAGCTTTTGGGGTTCTCCCTCTCTCCCTCTCCCCCCCTCTCTCTCTCTTCCCTCCGAGGAAGGGAGACGGAGAGCGCTCTGTGCATGCTCAGGAGCCCCGTCTTGGGGAGGAGGGGGGGGCTTTATGTTTAAAAGGCCACTGCTGGGGTCTCAGCCAATTTCAAAAGCTTTTGGGGTTCTCTCTCTCTCTCCCTCCCTCCCTCCCTCCGAGGAAGGGAGACGGAGAGCGCTCTGTGCGTGCTCAGGAGAGCCCCGTCTTGGGGAGGGCAAGGGGGTCGCGGGCAGGGTCTCAGCCGACTTCAAAAGCTTTTGGGGTTTTCTCTCTCTCTCTCTTGGACTCTTCCCTCCGAGGAAGGGAGCCTGGGAGCCCTCTGTGCATGCTCAGGAGCCCTTTCTTTGGGAGGATGGAGGTTGCTTGTATTTAAAAGGCCGCGGGTGGGTCTCGGCTGATTTCAAAAGCTTTTGGGCTTCTCCCTCTCTTTAGAAGGGAGCCTCAGGGATTCTTCCCTCCAAGGGAGGGAGACAGGGAGCACTCTGTGTATGCTCAGGAGCCCTGTCTTTCGGAGGACGGGGGTTGCGTTTATATAAAAAAGGCCACGCGTGGGTCTCAGCCGACTTCAAAAGCATTTGGAGTCCTCCCTCTCTCTTGGACTCTTCCCTCCGAGGAGCGGGATAGGGGGAGCACTCTGTGCATGCTCAGGAGTATCTTTTTGGGGTTTTTAGCTTGCTTTATTAGAAAGGTAGAGGTCGTACAGAATTAAGCATTGTAAAAAAAAAAAATGAAAGTTGGACAGACAACTTTAGCCTGACTAGGTGGCTCAATAGCTAAGACGCTGAGCTTGCTGATCAGAAAAGTCGGCAGTTCGGCGGTTCGAATCCCTAGTAGTGGTCTCCTGCGTGAGCAGGGGGGTTGGACTAGATGACCTCTAAGGTCCCCTTCCAACTCCGTTACGGCTACAGACGAAAAACACCTGGTGAAAATAGAAGGTAGGACGTTATTGAGGACATCCTCTGCCTTGAGTAGATCAAATAGCTTTTAAAAAGTGGGATAAAACAATGAGGTTGATTTTCCTTTGGGAAAAAGGCCCTCGTGATTTTTGTTTTCCAAAGAAAGGTTAAAAAAAAAAAAAAGCAACTTAGGCATGTTCAAGAGCGCTTTGATGCTTCAATTAGATCTCGCTTAATTAGATCTCTTCGGGATTCAAACTACGTAGTATCAAGTTCTCTTCTTTTTGCCCCACCTCCAAATAAATCTCATTTTTTTGGCCTCCTGGAAATCCCTCTTTTGCTCATTCCTACTCTGAATAAATGGCATCTCCAGGTCTTAATCTATTTGATATTATTACATTTTATTTTTACATTTATTTTGTACATATTTTTACAAAAATACATAGTATTTTTCCCTTGGCACACACAGTATGATCTCCTTTCCCTTTTCCTCTACAACAACATCCTTGCGAGGTAGGCTGGGCTCAGGGTGAGAGCATCTGTGGCCGTGTGTGTGTGTGTATGTGTGAGAAGGGGCATGGAACATATTTCTCCTTGCTCATAGTGACAAAAATAAGGTGGCAAAGTCTACTTAAAGCTCCCCAAAGAAGCTTCCAAGCAGACGGATCAGCTTAGAGCTGTTCAGTCTTATTTAAATCCTTTGTGTTTGTGTGTGTGTGTGAGTGAGAGAGAGAGACACACACACATTGTGGGAAGAAAAGGCCAAGCCTTACCATGTGGGCAGCCAAAGATCTTGGAGATTCGCATCCAGGTCGCAAAGATGCTTTTCCCAAAGGCAACTGAACTTGGGTTTTGGGTTTTTTTTTTCCTCTCTCGAAAACATTTCTCTTCTCATCCAAGAAGCTTCTTCAGTTCTGGAGAACAGAAGCGGAATGCAGAGATTAGTAACCGAATAACGAAATAAGATCAACAAAATAGAAATAGATACAGTTATATAGACACATATAAGAATATATACCGTAAGCAATAGTAATATTGGACTGTATGTGATTATAGATTA